ATCCATATATCCTAAAGTTTAAAAACGAACGGTCGATATTCCAATTTATAAATCCGGTGATGAATAAGAAGCCTCTAATTTAAGTCCTGTATGGATCTCAATTTTTTCAAAAACGCCTTAAAACTGATGAGGAATATCTTTCAAAACAGCAAATAAAAATAGGAGAGAAATTGAGCTCCATTGAATTAATCCTATCTGGAGTTCCACAACGAACGAATTTGGGAATGAAATTGAAATAAAAAATTCTGATAGTCAAAATTATGCTGAGATGATGAAACAAGAATTACAGTTAATTTCTGATTTTTATGAAAGGAATAAATTGACACTGAATCTACAGAACACACAAGCACTAATTGTTGGAAATCGGGATCCGCAAGAAGTAAAAATGGACTTGAATAAATATCAGATTAAGATGAAAGATGAAATGATATATCTGGGAGTGATATAGACAAAGAATTCAAGTTAAGCAGTCACTTACATGGAGTCAAAATGAAAGTCAACCAGGCAAATGGTATTGAAGCAGTCATGAGGAAAAAAATTGATGATAAATCCTCTGTTGAAATTTACTATTTTAACTTCCAATCTAATCTAATGTACAGCACCTTCTTATTAATAAGATGCTGGACTAAGGACCTAAAACAACTTCAAACATCACAGAATAGGATCATATAGATCTGAAAATCATTTCAAACCGCTGATGCCTTAATTAAAGTGGAGAAACTTCGATCTGAAAGAACAAATTTGCTAAAAATACAAGGATCAACTTTAACAATTAAGTCAAGCCCTATTGAATGCATAGGATCTTCAATATAAAATTTACTCCAATCAGAATTGAGATCCAACAACTCGATTCTACCAGTAAATGAAACTTGAAGCAGTTCCTTGGTGTCAGATGCTTAAATTGGCACAAAAAACAGAATTTCATACATATTCAAAAGATAAAAAAAAATGTTGAAAAATTATGATAAACATTATGGAGAAGGCCAATAGTTGTCAACTTAGCGATTAAGAAAAGATGCTCAAAAATACAAATAACCAATTGCAAGTTCAAAAATCAAGCTTTAGCAGCTTTAAGTCGACAGCTACAAAACATTGAATCTGAAAAGGAAACAGCACAAGAAGTACTCCATGAAAAGGTTTCAACATTAGGAGAAGAAGTTGTATCGATCGACGCCGAAAATAATGAAGCGATTTGAGGGAAACTTATGCTTGATGAGAACCAGAGGATAAGGTAAATGAACATACATACATTGATTACAATAATACGCAGTTTATTAATAATTTAATTAAACAGGACGCTACCAGGAAGAACAAGAAGTAAATGAGCGAGACAATCAAGAATTTTAATGAAAAGAGAAACTTGATGCTGTAAATGATGAACAACATTGAATAAATGAAGCAAAAAAATATTCAACAAATTGGTAGTAAAGAATCGAGCTATAATCAGACGCGAAATCGAATGACTTAAAAAGCAAAACATGCAGAAAATGATGAACTGGAAGATCAATTAGGGCAACAGCTCCAAAAGATAAAAGATAAGAAGAAAAAAACACAGGGAGGATTAGACTATTTGAAACTCGATAAGGATCAAAAGACATCGTGATGAGAACATTTTAAAAAAATCTTTAGAAATTCTGTCAAGATTAAGGTAATGTTTTAAATGTAGGTTTAATTTAATTTGTGTGGACATAAAAAGAGAAAATGTCCCACCGTCCTGTCAATTTTTTTTTTCGGCACTTAAAGTATTTACATTTTCCAATATAAGAAAGCTTTAGAACCACATTGATTATTCTAATTTTTTCCCATTTGTTTTTAGCAAGAAAAAGATGAATAGGAACGAAACAAACAAGGAATTGAATGATAAGTGAGAACGAGACGAATATGAACGAGGCATTTAAGGATTTGCATTCATTGACACCGTAAAATTCAATGATTAGGAGAAACTTATAATTGAATGTTAATTAGAAGAAAAGGTAATTGAACTCAAATACATTGAAGACAAAAATACGTAATATATAAATAATTTAATGATTGAACAGGACGTTATTAGGAAGCACAATAGGAATATGAACGAGACAACTAAGGAATTGAATGAAGAGAGTAATTTGTTGCTGCAAATAATGAATACAATGGAATAGTAGAGAATTGAGCAATTATCGGATGCAAAATCAAATAGAACGGCTTCAACACTTCGTAAGAAGTTCACAGAATTTTGGCAGAATTACGATAAGCAGTGGCATTGATTGACACCGAAAAGATCTAGAAACTGTATAAAAGTATGATACGAAGGATGAGAAGGCATTGCTGAGTCCTGATGAAAATATTTCAGAGATCGAAGCCGATTTTTTCGGCTTAACTCAATTTTTGATTTTTTTGATAGAAAAAAGCTATTTAACTCACATTTCAAGTATTTAAATTGAACTTTACATGCTTTACTATGATTCTGTGTAATATTTTGTCAGCATGTAGCTTTAGTAAGCTCAGAATTTCAAGTTAAAGAATGTTAAGCCGAAATTTAAGCCGATCGGCTTAAAATCGGCTAAATTGAAATTCTGAGCTTACTATAGCTACATGCTGACAAAATATTACACAGAATCATAGTAAAGCATGTAAAGTTTAATTTAAATACTTGAAATGGGTGTCAAATGGCTTTTTTCTATCAAAAAAATCAAAAATTGAGTTAAGCCGAAAAAATCGGCTTCGATCTCTGAAATATTTTATAAAACCATCCAAGACTTCACTCAAAATTTAAGGTAACATAATCAAAATACTTTTAATTTAATTTTCGTGGACATAAAAAGAGAAAATGCCCCACCGTCCTGCCCAATTTTTTTTCGGCACTTAGAGTGTTAATTTTCCTATATTTAAAAGCTTTAAAACCGCATTATTTATTTTAATTTTTTTTTCATATGTTATTAGCAAGAAAAAGATGAATAGGAACGAAACAAACAAGGAATTGAATGATGAGTGAGAACAAGACGAATATGAACGAGGGATTTAAGGATTTGCATTAATTGACACCGAGAATGAGAAGAAAAGGTAAATGAATTTAATTGCATTGATGACAAAAATACGCAGTATATAAATAATTGAATAAAACAGGACGCTATCAAGAAGCATAAAATAAATTTGAACGAGACAACTAAGAAATTGAATGAAGAGAAAAACTGATGCTGCAATTTAAAGATACTTTATACAACTTAAGCAGGAAAACATGCAGAAATTTATGAACTGAAAGAGCATTCAAGTCATCAGCTACAAAAGATTAAATCTGAAAAGAAAACAGAAGAAGAAAGTTCAAAACATTCGAACCGCAAACATTGCACTTCGTAAGAAGTTTACAGAATATTGGCAGAAATAGGATAAGCAACGATAAGCAAAACGATCAAGAAACTGTTTAAAAGTATGATACGAAGTATGAGAAGGCATTGCTGAGTCCTGATGAAAATATTTTATAAAATCATCCAAGATTTCACTCAAGATTTAGGTAATAATTTTTATTATATGATTAATTTAATTTTCGTGGACATAAAATTAGAAAATGCCCCACCGTCCTGCTCAATTTTTTTTCGGCTCCTAGAGTGTTTACATTTTCCCATATAAAAATGCTTCAGAAACGCATTAACTTTTAACTTTTTTTTTTTCTTTTCGTTGACGCATTAAATAATGTGAATTATTAGCAAATGTTGCTCAAATATACAGTTATCGAGCAGAGAAACATTCAGCAATAACTTTAACATCAGTGAGGAGATGCTGAAAGGGAATCTGCCTGAAGAGTTTTTGAAATAATTTGAAAAGGTCAGTAGAAATGTGTTTTCAATAATATGCTGATTTTAAGGTATTAGGGTGCGATTTACTATTAGAGTGCACCTTATGAGCGAGTGGTAGTCGAATCCCATTTTACTAACGAAGCTTACCCTCCATTATTAATTTATTAATTTGCAAGTTAAAAAGCTACTTAACCTCAATTTTACTGCATGTCTGATAAAAAGGCATTAAAATATTTCTCAATATTTATACTTTCTTAGTAAAAAAAAAATTGAAGATTTTTGTTCACGTGTTTTTGGTCTTGGTGCCTACATGCTGAAACGGACCGAAATAATTTATTAACCATTTGATGCGTAATTCAATTCTCTAGTTATAATATGCATTTTATGGAGTAATAATGCTTAATTTTCTCAAAAAATGCAAACAAAGTCAAAAATACTTAAAAGTAAAATCAGTAACTTACAAGCTTTACCTGGAAGTTAAAATGTATTGAAAGAGCTCATAATTTTCCACTGCACTGTAGCCGGACAAAAGCATCATTAAATATTCAGTTCGTGATTATTGTCTCTTTCCTTTTCCTTATGTTTCTCTCTAATGCCGTATCAGTGTAATTGAATTTCCGTCGCTTTCTTGTTCAGAGAGCTGGCATTTACCATCTACAACATCCTGTATGATTTATCTTGCGTCTTACCACATGTAGAACTTTCCAACGATTAATTTGCGGGTGCCTCTTAGTGGTCAGTAAATTTTGGTTGCACTCTAATCTTTCCTATAATTTATTTTAATAAACGTCTGTTTTTATTCTGTTCACTAAAATCCTTTCCTACTGAGCATTGGCTGTATCATTGATTTATGGAGTTTCTCATGCATGGTATCATGGAAGCAAATTTGTCCAATTTTATTAATAAAAAATATATTTGCACGTAAAAAATTGTCGTCAGATTTACTTAACACTTTATTTCTGTTAATAGAAACATCAAATTGTAATCCAAATGGCCTTCCTTCATCTGTTTTTTTGTGTTTTCAACTCAATATTCACATAATAATCTCTTTAACAAACCACCCATAAATTGCAGACACTTGAGATCTCAAGTGTATCATAATGTTACGCTGTTACTTACGCGAATAGCACGATAGACGAACATATGATCAAAAGAGTATCCACTTTATTATTTGAATATTTCATTTGAATTGATTTAGAAAATTGTTCAGCTTCTGATTGTTACCCCTCTCTTTTTTTCAACTTGCTTACCGAATGGTATTAAATAACAATTTAGTAAGCCACTCAACGAGAAAAACACAAACAAAATAAAAATTCTTTTTTGGAGGAAAATTTACTTTAGTTTTGTGAAACACATCGTAGTGGCTGGATCTTAAATTTTTGGTAAATCCTGATTGAATTTTGTGATTTTTTTTGTGCATAAATTGTGAATTTTTATTGATTGTGATTTTTGAGTGAATTAAGAAATTTTTGGAAGGCAAAAATTTTGGAATTTGAAATTTTCAAACTTTTAGGAATCGAAAAATAATATCTTAAATTGAAATAAAGTTGTGAAATTAATCATTTAATTATTTTTTGAAATTTTGAAATTTTTGCACCATCATGTAAAGAAATTTCATATGTCTAGAGTCTTGAGATATTTTGTTTTATGTAAGACAATTTATATTTTGGTATCAGACCAAATCTAAATTACGCAAATTTAAAGTTCTAACCAAAAGTAATGTATTGATCAATAAAACATTGATCTTTAATCTCAATTTCACTTAAATGCACAAATTTCAAAAAAATATAAGCTTCAACTTTTTAAAATTAAATTTTTTTCTCTCAAGTCTTGACTTTAAAGTATAAAAATATTCTTTCTACATCTTTTTAATACAAAAAATACAGCAGTCTACAACTGCAAACAAGCATAAACCAATTAGCACTATCTAATGCATAAAAATTATTACTCTTCGTATTATATTAGTTATTAAGAAACTTGCGATAAATTTTTCAAAAGAATCATTATAAATTTTTAGCACCATCAATAAAGATAAGATTACTTCCATAAGTCTTCTTTTGACTGATCATTTACTTTGTTAGTTTCATTAAATTCAGTTGAAAATCAATTTGCTAAAATGAAAAGCTTTTAAGTGCAAAATTCCACGACTCTAAATTTAGCAAATCATTCGTTATAATCTAGTGCGTGCATCAGTGATTTTTAATTAAGAGAATAACATTTCGAGAGGATCAAAGTGTTTCAGCTCGAGATTTTTGATTCTCAAATCCTACTCATTCTAAGTGTGTTCGTTCACAAATGACATCCATAAAATTTTTGGCTCTACTAATTTTTTATGTTTGATGTTCAACTGTCTTAGCTTTATACTGCCTCCCTCAATTGCCAACTAAATATTGGACGTCATTTGTGAACAACCCAAAAGCGTTGTGCAATAAAATCTGAGTAAATTTTCAGTGACAGTAAAAAGAGTCCACTCTAATCACAAAACTCATTGAGTTTGTTACTGTCGGTCGATTTCCATTTTCTGATAAATAAATGAAGTAAAATTTCGTTCCTCTTCAATCTTTATGCTTACAGAACCATAACACTCGAGAAAATTGAAAGTGAAAAATCTGCATCATGCAGCAGAATACGGGTATATCTGGCTATGTACTTCTGTTAACCATTCAATTTGTGTTTATCGTAATTTTTGCAATCTATACGGATTACGATACTGATTTACGACCTAAAGATGGAGCACAATCGGAACCAGGCTTTATTGTACCGAAATACGGACGTAAGAACAGAAAATGATTGAATGTTGTATCACGTGCTGTAATGCTTAAATTTTATTTTATTTCTATTTTCATGCCTTCTTCCTCTTCCGGAACATAAAATCAATAGATTTTCAAGATATTCATGTAATGATTTTTATTGGTTTTGGTTTCCTTATGACCTTCCTCAAACGTTATGGCTACAGTGCAACAGGATTAAATTTATTCGTAGCTGCTCTCTGCATTCAATGGGCTATACTGATGCGAGGCTTTTTCGAAATGGAACATGGAACAATCAAGTTAGTTCAACATTCCGAATAGTGTAAAATGTAAAGCAAAATCAATTTTTCATTTTTAATCAGATTATCGCTTACAAACCTTATTGGTGCTGATATTGCTGCCGCAAGTGTGCTTATCAGTATGGGTGCATTGCTGGGACGAATTTCTCCCATTCAATTGTTAGTTATGGGATTAATTGAAATCGTACTTTTTGCATCAAATGAATATTTACAAATTGAGCTTATGAAGGTCTGGTGCTATTAAAAATTTCAATTACAGACACAAGAATCTAATGAAAATTTTATTATCTTCCATTTAGATTGTTGATGTAGGTGGATCTATAACAGTACATGCCTTTGGCGCATACTTCGGTTTAGCTGCTAGTTTTATTCTTAGACCATCAAAAGAAAATGCAAAAGCTGGAGAGCTCGAGGGTGCATCCTACACATCCGACATTTTTGCAATGGTCGGTACAGTATTTTTGTGGATATTCTGGCCTAGCTTTAATTCAGCATTAGTTGATGGACCTGAACAAGAACGTGCAATTCTACATACATACTTATCTTTAGCTGCATGTACCGTCACTGCAATTATTTTGTCCGCTTTAGTCAGTAAAGATAACAAATTAGATATGGTTCACATACAAAATTCAACATTAGCTGGAGGTGTAGCAGGTCAGTGTATTAGAAAAGAAAAAAAAATAATTTTATTTTCATCGTCACACGTGTTATTGGAGGCAAATGACTTTTTATTTTGTGGGCATATCCATTCACACCCTTAATTAAATAAATTAAATTTTAGAACTGCGGTTAATTTATTTATTTGTTAATCAACGGAGATGTTGACCAAATAAGCACCGAAAATGCTGTAAATTAAATTATTTCGATATGCAAATTTCACGTAGACTGAATTGAGCTCTGACGCACGACGTCCAATTATCAAGTCTGCGCTACATTGTGCATACGGTTATGACTAATTTTTTAAAAAAATAAACAACATCGATGTCTATATTTATGTTGTTGACAAGAAAAAGCACATGCAAAGAAGCACTTGGTTATTGCCATGTGCTGTGAATCAACCCAAAAAAAAGTTAAAGAGTTTAAGCTTTCTCTTTAACAAAGGAAATTTTTATTATTGCAGTTGGATCTGTTGTTAATTTATTGATTCATCCTTCCGGAGCCTTAATCATTGGAACATTCGCTGGTGCTCTTTCTGTCATTGGATATCGCTACCTAAGCGTAAGTTTCACTTTATAAATTTTTTATAACTTTTCTCGCTTGTTACAATCTGTAGCAATTAATTCTCATTGTTCTTTACTTGATTTATTTATATAACAGCCTAAAATGTTGGAAAAAATGAGACTTGCAGGTAGGTTCTAAAGAAAATTTATTGTTTTGTGTATGAAAAGCGTTCATGTCTGTGGAAATGAAAGGAACTGAAGACAAATTTTTTATAGTTTCAAGGTGGTCGACTACTTGGAATATGATCATTTAATTATAAATTTAATATCTTAATTTTTGTTAAGGAATGTTAAGCCTTTTTAGAGTGTCCAGGACTGCATGGATTTAGAAACTTAGCCTCAAATTTCGTAGATGATTTTTAATTAAGATTAGAAATAATTTTATTTTTTGAGATGTCTCAGATCGATACTCCTCGAGATTGGGGGCTGTTGGATATTAAAAAAGAAGAGGATGGGGAAGCTAATATGAGTAGAAATTTGGAAAAAAAAATTATCAGTAAAGACAAGCTGCAATCCCCCTGATTTTTTCCATTGAAAGTGAAATAAATTTTGATATTTAAATACAATGAATGGGATTTCATATAATCGTTGGAACGTGCACACATGCATGCCCAAATGCATATATTGAAAGCATTTACATTTAATTCCTTTACTCTTTTTAACTGTCATTGAAAACATTTTATTTAGATACATGCGGTGTTCACAACTTACACGGTATGCCTGCAGTCGCTTCAGCATTTTTCTCAGCCATTTTTGCATATTTCGCAACTAAAGAAGCTTATGGTGATTCCCTATACACCATCTTTCCGGGAATGAAAAATTCAACGATGTTGGAGGATGAACACGAGATGATAATTGGGGTAAGGAAATCTTTTTTTTTACAGAAAATGAGATTTTTGTGCTAAATATTTAATTTGGCACAATTATTCCATGGCAATCAGAGTATTTCTTATCACATTAAGTAACACGAGCCAAATTTTCTTTCATTTCTTATAAAATGGAAACAATCTTTAGGGTTTTGGAAGATCTTCTGAAAAACAAGCTGCTTTTCAACTTCTTGCTATTCTCGTTACCGTCAGCATAGCCATTGTTGGTGGAATGTTCACAGGTAAGAAATAGGCTGCTTTAGAGATAACATAAAATGAGATTTCACCTTCTCCATCTACTTTATCCATGTAAATTTCCGACTAAAAGCTTCTCATTCTTTTTAACTTTCAATTTTCTTTCTATTCTTTTTCTTATTCGTTACTTCCCGCTTTACATTTGTCTTCTTCTTTAAACAACTGTCCCTTTCTTATCTCGACTAAAACTTCTTACGTTTCATTTCATTTCGGAACTTTTTATGTATGTATGCTTTCCATATTAAAAACGTAATAAAGGCATTATTATGAAAACAAAATATTTCGGTGGGCAACTTGCACCGAGAAAAATGTTTCGAGATGATCTTTGGTGGAACACTGAACCGGAAATTGAAAATATCATAGAAGTTAAACCCAATCCAATGGTTATAAAGGCTGAACAGATCTTTAGAGACGCATTGAAAAAGTAAATTGAATGTTTGTGGAAATTATATTGTGTAGATATGTTGATTAGAATGAATGGTATTGATATTGTATGTGCGCACATTTAGATACAATTTATTAGCGGAGTGTTAGGAAAGCAATGTAGAAAATTTATATTACACCCTTATGTCCACTTTCAGGTTGTTTAAATATAGAATCCTTTTTCATGTTCATTCACTATAGACTGATGATATTTTGAGAGAGAATGGGAAATCAAGTTTTTGCGAGTCTATACTTGGGGTTGCTCATAAATGACGTTAATTTCTGTACATTCTAAAATAAGATATACTCAAGAAATTGGAATTGTTTAAAATATTAAAGGAGGTTGATTGATAAAGCTGCATACCCTCATCACTATAATGCTAGACGTCATTTATGAACAACCTAGATTCACAAAACTCAAATTTTCCATCCCTTCATTCAATATTTAAATCCTCAAAAAGATTAATTCAATTTTTAAAAATAAATATTTTTGCATTCTCGCCAAATTAGGATTCGTACTAAAAAGTCCAACGTTCAGACCTTTACAAACACACGAGCTACATAAAGATGACATTTATTGGGAAACTCCGGATGGTCATGAGTACAACCGTGATGAACATTTGCAATAAACATTATTCATCAATAAATTTCACGTTATAGCATACATCAGCGACAGTCGAGTCTAACAAACTGAGAAAATAAAATAATATTTTTTCAAGCATGATTCTATTTTCGGTCCTACGTATCGGACGAAAATTGGAAATGCAAATTGAGATGTAAAGCAGATACTTAAATATTTATCATTTTACTTAACAAATGTGTTTCAATTTGTTTGTATTGAATATTTTTGACTTAATTCTTTTCCTCTTGTAAACTAACTTTATGCGATAAATCTTTTTATAGCATACAATGATGTTTTTTGCGTTTAATGTACAATAAATTCTGAACTCTAAAAATTCACTTTTTTACTGTATTGTTACTGTATTGTTACAATATGACCTGATTTTTATATCCTTTTTCTTCTGTATTCATTTGTACATGTCTTTTTTTGTCTTTTAAATCACAAGAATAAAAATGAAATTCCACAAAAAAAATACATATGTACACATGCTTAATACATAAGTTCTTTAGAAACCATAAAGCATATTCAACTGATTTTTATTTTATTTTCTACAATCATACACAATCAAGTTAAAAAATCACTTTTGTATACATAATTTTTTATCTTGTTAAGTCTTATAAAGGTTGACGCTGAGACGCATTTAACAAATTTCAAGGCAAAATTCCTAGGGTCTACTAATAGATTTTATTCTAGAAAACCTAGATTATATTCAAAAATTCAGACTTGATATTGAACTCAGGTTCTAAACTTCAAAAGCTCAGCAACTTTTGACACTTTTTGGGAACCTCCAAAACCCACGAATCATTCAATTTACGAGTTTTCAGTTTAAAAACTTCAGTCGAGTCTCGAACCTTCATTTGGATCTTTTTCCCAATGACCAACATCGGCTTATCTTTATTCAAGTTTCCAACAAAACCCAAACCAAACTGCTCACAAATTTAAATATCTTTAAAAAAACCCGCTAAACATTGAACAGAACATGTGTATCTTAAACCTTTGTGAATGCTAAGCTGCTTATCGATTACGACTTTGTGGTCGTCCACATTTAATGTGTCATTGAAGAAATAATATTTTCGTTATTCATTTTCTTGTGCTAAAAATCTGAAATTTGATATTTTCTTTCTTTATTTTTTTTCTGCTGATTCCATTATTTACAAGCAGCAATTTTATTTGTAGATACACATACAATACATGATGTATTTACGCAAAACAGAGGGAAAGAAAATCGTAAAAACATTTTCTCCTTTCATTCATATTTTGTGGTTTGGTGTGTTTTTTGGTTAAATCGTATTCATAATTGGATTCAGAAGGTAAGTTCAAAGAGTTTTCAATGACCTGGAAAGCCGAATGTTTGAAATAATCATTGGAACTGCTTAGAACACTTGATATTAATATTAAATATCTAAATTGATTCATGGTTTTGGGCTTTTGTGGTATAAACAAGTGATTAATTGCATGTAGAAAATCCAGCAAAAATTGGACCAGATGTTGCTTTTCATACAGCAAGTTCATTGAGTTTTTCAGAGTTTTTTCTTAAAATCTTTTCGTAAACCTCCGTAAACCTTTTTTCAAAAAATAGTCTAACGTTTCATCAAAAAAAATTTTAAATTTTATTTTAAAAAATTATTTATCTCTTTAGGAATCGAACCTATATATCCTTAAGTTTCGTTCACTTACTTTCTATCAAATTCGTCGTGAAAACATTTTAATTTTAAATATTTATTTAACAAAATGCTTATCATAAATTTTGTAGTTCTTACAATTCAAATGTTTCATGAATTTAAAGTGTATATTTGATTCTACACATCATTCTTGACCAACCTTTATGACTTTAATTTGAAACCTAAAGATTACTTACTCATACTGTCTTAATATTTGTAAATGTATTAATTGTGTAGAACTTATCAAAATGATCATAAAATTCAGCATTTCTATAATCTTAATTTTAGAATCATTATAAACTAGTATTGTTATAAACATCTTATTCAAAGAGGATTTATACCTGAAGCTGTTATTGAATTTAGTTTTCAAAACTGCATTATTTCAACCCTTCAATTGTTCATTCAATGACTTGTTATTTTGAAGAACTGAACATAAGGATCAATTAGATTTTGAGTTGTTAACACATTGAGATGAAGAAAAAAAAATGATTTAACATTTCCAATGATCCACTTGTTGTTTGCACTTGTTGCACAACTTAAGTTGTTAGTAAGAGTTTCACGCAAGAAAGTATCTTAAAGCATCATTCAATTTCATAGTTTAAGGAGCATTCTTATAGCAAAGAATCTTTCAAAGCACGATAAAATCAAAGATGGATCTAGAATATCTTAGCATATATAGATTTATTTGCTTAGCATTTATGACAAGCCTGATTGAATATCTCATAAAAAGTCCGATCGATAGCTATGACACAAACAAATATTATCTTACTCATCCCTAATATGAAATATGATAATGTTGGACAAATATTAAATAAACACACATCCTTATTATGCATACAAGAGTTTTTTTTTTTCTCCTTTTGTGATTCTTGAATAAACACATTAAACTTGAATCTGCAAACATTTTTATTTTCTTATCTATAAATCCATAAATAAATTAAAGAAAATGAAGAAAGTGAAGAGAAATCGATTTATCATCAATTTGAATATTTTTTTTCGATTGTTTCTTTTGTTCACTCATGACGAGCCAACAACAACAACGCCCTCATCAATTGGAATTTTATTGGAATTTGTTATTGGGAACATCCACTCACGATGAACGATGGGATAAAAAATGCTTTCACTATTAAGTACATCAATGATATCATCAAGGATTTTTACATCTTCAAGATCCTCAAGAAGCTTTCTTGTCTCAGCTAATAAACGACTCACAGTGGCATCTAAAGACTGTAATGAGAAGAAAATAATATCATAATTGAGATAAGTACGTAAAGGAATAATAGAGTTATGATGATGATGGGATTGGATAGCATTATCATTAAATCATAATAAAATAAGTACTGGGGGTCCTCGATTTGAATGGGATTTTTTTTGGAACAAAATTAATTTGAACTCAAATTAAACTCAAATTAAGGACCCCCAGTATGTTATGTGCTTGTGTATGTCTAGCGTGCTTTTCATTTTTTGAAACTTAGGGTTTAATTAAGAGCCATTCAAATGAGGACTTCTGTTAGAAAATCATTAGACAATTATAGAATTGTTTTCCATAAATCCATGCATTACATCCAATAAAGACTATGAAGTTGTAGTCCCTTCCTCAATGGCTACACCCATACTAAAACCACTTAGTACTAACTTAAAGTATAATAATTATGAGGTAATGCTCAAGTATATAGGTTTAAAACTATCGATATTGTCTACTGTCATAGCTAGCGTTGTTGATCACAAGACTGTATAAGATTATTAGAACCTTTGTGCCTTTTCATACTTTTCAAATTAAAAATTACAAATAAATCTTAAAATCTTTACAATCATCTCATTAAAGTCTCTTTGCATGAACATCCAACAGCAAATATTCCGTGATTTCCAAAAACAAAATCAAGAAGGAACGCATAAAGAAATAAAGACCAGCAATGATTAAACGATTTCGCTATCTCATATTTTCCTTCTCCCCCTTTTTCTTACTACACACAATCTGATGAATCCCTTAGAATGACTGATGAAATTTTGACGTGATACTTTGCAGCATAAATCCGTGATGAATGAAAAAGGATAAGTTTTATGTACATGTGTATACATATTACAAAATCTGTGGACACATTCATGCATGTTAAAGTAAGAGTAGCCTTAATGGAATTTATGAATATGAAAGGTTGGAGGTGAGACATTTGTGATTTACAAATCACTTTTGTAGTGCTGCAAAACGGTTATGTAATTACGAATGTCTTATGTAAGGTAAGTTAGTAAGTTTTTTCACATCCTTGTGTCTTTAAAGATTTATGAAATAAAGCATAAAGAAAATATACAAAAAAAAGTAGAAATGAAAGAAAAGCGGAAAAAGGTCAGATTGCTAAGGTACTTAAGATTGAAATTCATTCCTTCTTAACGACCGTAGTACAGACATTTTATATGTAAAATAACAACCGTTAAGACCTGTGATACTATATCGCACCATGTTCAAAATAAGAAAATCCAAACGTGAATAACCTTTTGCCATTAAAATGAGATTTTACATTGGCGATAAATGTAGCATTATTCGCCAATAATAGGATTAAAAATAATTTATTGTTTGTTATAAAGGAACTCTTGAAATTGAATATTAAGCTTACGCCAAGGTTTGTAGTATGAAAAATAAATATGAATGAAAATTTTTTACTGCAATGAATTCGGAACGAAATGAGTTTTTTCGCCTTAAATTTTATTCCAAATGATTGACATAAAAGTAAAATTTTTTGATATTAAAAGCTATAAAAAGTGGATCTCTGATGTTGAGATAGTGTGATGGAAATATCATAGCAAAAATTGATAGATGAATTTTTATCTCATTTATTGAGTGAATTTCATCAGAAAATAAAAATTGGGATTTTAAAAATATTCATGGTGTGCTGACTGGCATTCACAATTGTATTCGTGTCAAATGTGAGTATGAGAAAAAATTGTGTATTGCATGCTGGATATAATTAAATGTGTATTATCGGGTTATGTAGAAAATGTTGCTTGAGTTTCAAAGATTTTGCGTATTACATAAACAAAAGAACCTTATTGGTGATTTTATTTAATACTAAGTTCTTGGATGTCAAAAAAAATTTTGTTGTGCGAAACATTCAAATTTTCATTCAGGGTTGCAATACGAGCACCTAAGGTTTTTCTTACAAAACCATACAAATTCTAATAAAACCTGACAACTTAGCACGGAATTGTACGGTTCTCACATGTGCACAGGTACCTGTATTCATTACAACCCTGTTTTCATTAGGGGCCGTTCACTTATTACGTTACGCAAAAAAACGACTTTTTTCACCCCCCTCCCCCCTTTGTTACAATATGATACAACTCACACCCCCCCCCCCCCCCTGAACGTTCATAATTTATTTTATTTTGATAAAAAGGTGGAAAATTTTAAAAAATGTTTTTGGTGTGAATTTGTAAACAAATTTTTTTCGTGAACTTTTTTTTGAAAGACAGACTACAGTTAGAACGTTACATATTTCTTGACACCCCCCTCCCCCCCCCCCCCTTATGCTACATTTTGTTCCAATTTTTTAAACCCCCCCTCCCCCCTAAAATGCGAACGTAATAAGTGAACGGCCCCTTACAAGTATCCCCAAAGGAAGTATCCAGAATTTGAGGTCATTCCAGATAAAGTAACAATAAGACAAGGGGCCATTCACTTATTACGTAACGCTTTTAGGGGGGAGGGGGGGTCTAAGATTTTGTTACGGTTCAAACAAGGAAATTTTTTTTTCATACAAATTTTGTTACGAGGGGGGGGGGGGTCTAAAAAGTCATTTTTTCGCGTTACGTAATAAGTGAACAGCCCCCAACTAATTATCTTCAACTTGTAGCTTCATGATTCACGCATGTTTATAAATTAGGTTGAGCATAAAACTAAGAAATGGAGCCCTTTAAAAATTATATCTGACTACACCTCTAATCATTATGTAGCTTAGAACTTAGTCATCACTAATTATCTATCATGAAGTTTATCTACTGGCACACCCTCAAGCTAGCTTCAAAAAATATTTTACAACCTGTTCTTACCAAAATATCAGCATGAACTTCAATACTCTTATAAATGAGAGATGAAACACTCGAATCTAGTTTATGAATTTCATCAATTTTCTCCGAAATGCCATCAAACTCTGGTGTCCTTCTCATATGCTCACTGGATTTATCAAACTTTGGCACTTGCAGGAAATTTTTATCACTTTCTCGACTCGTGTCTGCCTGTTCTTCATCATGGTTGTGGCTAGGGAAGTCGTTACGCATCAAATTGTAATAATTTGATCGATTATCCTTATTTAAACTACTAAAACTATTACGTCGCGTTTCATTCAGATATTCAATATAATCCGTAGCATTTTTCATCTCTCCTAGCCATATTGTATTGTATATCGGTGCCTGATTAAATGATTTCGTATTTGTAATTGCACCGCCTGCAATAAAGTTGTGGTTTTGTTGACGATGAATTTTACAACAACAGCATGCTGTATCATCATATTGAATAACATCTTGAAATGATTTTTCTAAGTATATTTCACTATTATTTTGTGCTATCTCTTCAAAGAGAGACTTGTAGTTTTTTAAATCACTTTCAATCGAATCCATAATTTAATTTGTATTTTATATAAAACTTTATATAAAAACACCACATGCACAGGTATAGCATTTAAAAGCCTTTATTTAAAAAAAAAACGAATCAACTACAACCAACCTCACACACAACATGAAGTCTCGCACAAAGCATTTAAATGAGGAAAATGCGAACGATGAGGGGCGAAATATGGAGAGAAAAAAAATTGTTATGAATCGTACAGCGCAATATTTGCCCAATAAATTTCCTCTTTCCCGTACATTATTCAAAGTGGCACTATCAAAACTGTATTACAGCCAGTAAATCACTTAATTAAGTCGAAATATGTTCATGATTTCCAGTAATTAGACGTGGTCAGTTTTTTTTTCTTTCTCTACTTTCTCTCTCACTCTCTCACTTTGTTGTGCTATTAATTTAGTTTTCAACCTGACAAACAACGGTACGGTGAACTTTAATAAGTTAACAGTTAGCACCTTTACTAAACGAGCTTCAATGCGAGACTGGAGAGAGAGAATACTTTTATTACATTTATTGACGGCACCTAAGCAAAAATTATTTCAACAATGTGTACATAAAACTCTTGACAGTAATAGTAAAAAATCAACTACGACTCGCCTAGTTATGCGGGGCTTCTTTGAATTATCAAATTACAAGCACGTTTGCATTAATTTTATTTCTTTTTTTTCGTTCTAATTCTTCTTCTTGTAAGAGATAGAAGTTATAAGCAGCAAACTGTTTTATGGTTTGCTTACTAGTTATTATGGCCAAATAAATCACTGCTGGCAAATTTTGATGGAAGACTGTACTGCTAATTTTTTTAAATGGTGAAAAAGCTTTTAATATTAATGAGAAAGGTATGATGAACTAAGCTAGGGATTCAGATAATCTGGGAAATTCTTTAGAAATTTTGGATTTGTTTATTATGAGAAATTGTGGAACTGGGGCTTGTTTATATTCATCTTCGATTTAGCTAATGTTGGAGTCAACGAGAACAACACAAGGTAGGAACACATAAATAGAAAGAGAAGTTTTAAATAAAGCACTTTTTCATAAACTTTAAGTTTAAGTATTTACTTATGATGCCCATCATTTGAGTAAAGGCTCAATCCAAAAGAAAATTCTTAGCTTGAACATTTTGTGATCAGGGAAAGTGAAAATCCCATTCTAGCTTAGGGGCTGTTCACTTATTACGTAACGCGAAAAAATGACTTCTTAGACCCCCCCCTCGTAACAAAATTTGTATGAAAAAAAATTTCCTTGTTTGAACCGTAACAAAATCTTAGACCCCCCTCCCCCTAAAAGCGTTACGTAATAAGTGAATGGCCCCTTATGACGTCATGAACTACCCTTTTAGGTATGACTTTTTTTTAATAAAAAAATCAATGCTTAAGAAACTGCTCTTGAATTCATAATCCAGAAACTCTGACTATAATTCGAAATTAGGTATCAAAACATTCTAGCCAGGGGTGTAACCAGGAATTTGAAGAGGGGGGGGGGGCAAAAAGATTTTTTGTATGGAAAAATTTAAGGGAAGGGAATTTTGTGATGTTTTCATAAAACCCTAGCAAAAGAAAGAAATTTGTGTTTACGTTGGGGGATTTGTCCCTCAAATCCCCCCACTGGCTACGCTCCTGATTCTAGCTAAGCATAAGACTACTACCCTAGCTACCCTCCTCACTCTTTATTCACGCTTTGCTTTGAATGTTTATATCCAGTTTGTTTGAAATTCCTAAAAGTTCACTATACCTTAATTACTGCTGTAGGTATTCAATAATCAAATGTACAAAATAAATCCAATTTTTTTTTTCTTGATAAAAATTTCTAATTTTAACATCACGTGGACTTTAAATAAAACTATGATGTGCCTTATTTCAGAATACATAGCCAGAAGTGGACAAAGAATAATGTTTAAATATTTCATACACAACAAATAACATGAGAAAGGTAGTCTGATCATGAATATAATAAATGTAAGTGTTTTTGCACGAAAACATTGTAAATATCAAGGAACATGTGACAACCTATTAGTATGCCATGCAGTACGAGAGCAATTATTTTCATGTCATTAATTTAAAGTTTTGTCCATGCAAAAACCTACGGATCGTCACCTTTAAGCATAAGTTTATTGCATTTGACTTATGTAACTGTAGCTGCAATTAAAAACTTCCGTATCAAATATAAAGCTAAAAGGAATTACTGCACCCTATACACTGTTTCTCTTTCTATCAATTTTTATCATCATCATCACCATTTTACATTTGAAGTTGTGTAATTTATATCCATCTAAAATCTAAAAGCGACAAACGTTATGTTTGGGTGTGAAATGGATAAAGGAAAGTGAGATGGAGAGATGTACATTTAGGTGTGACAAACACACATTTTCACCATTAAAATTTACAAGGATAGAAATGTAAAAAAAAATTATCATTCTATCAGAATCCATTTTACGTTTCTCAAATGTATTTCATTTCCGTTCTTTCATGATGATAGCATCCCATTCATTCTCGATGACGATGATGATAAAAAGTTTTTAAATTTTATGTGCACGATGCTTCCATATCGTATGACAATTTCATCTTACTTTACTTAGACGATATGAAAATTTCTCCTATGTGCCCTCGTTCCTGGGCAGCAATAAAAAAAGAGAGAAAATGAGAGACTCCACTCCATTTCACATTAAGAATCAGGTATTTGTTGAATGAATGAATGAATATTCAATGATTGGGAAAAATTATGCACACTCATGAATGAATGGAGTGAATTTTCCTTCTTTAATTTTTTTTTTCAGCACCCTTTTTTATTTCAGTTCTTTTACCAAAACATTGAGTCGATAGAGAAAAGAAAAGGTGCTCAATTTCATTTTGTCCTAAATGTTGTTTGAAGTTAAGGGTTGATTTTTAAATCAATTTATTGTATCTGATTTATTTTCGGGCATTAAAAAATATACTTTATCAAAAAAAGGGGAGCACAACTTCTACTGTAAAAATCATATTTGTTAAGTATGAGGACACTTTAGACGATAAAAACAGTCATGCTAGCGCAAGTTTCCTGTAATATAGTTTATTATTCAAGTTTATGGTCAAGGTAAATCTACTTTTTGCTTTAGTTAAGTCTACGATGGTAGTAAAATGTAAATCACGTGAATGTATCACATGTTCACCAACGTTAATTTGAAAACTTTACCGGCGCATCGATAAGATCCGAAATAAATATAAAAAATCAGAACTTTCGAATTATGTTAAAGAAATCCTTAATCTAGAATATATTGTTCTGAACGTTGTGTTAGCTAAATGAATAGAGCAGATTCGATCAATTTTCGGACTAACAAGTTCAATAGAATAGATCTATATAAAGTTAATATTTTGGTTTCGTTTATATCTAACCATAAATATAGATTTGTTAATTTTAAGTGAACTGATTACATTAAGTATTGCATTTGGTATGGTTAATTGGCAAACGGAAGCCAGCGACAGAGTCAGCTTCAGGCGCCATCTAAGGGAGGCCATGGATCACAATTGATCTGTACGGCCAGCGAAGTAAGTAGTAAGATTACATTAAGAATCAAACTTGGATACGAGCCATCGAGAGGAAGTTTCTCGAATGTGTTCTTGATATAGAAAGTTAAACAAAGGCAGAGCTCGAAGTCGATAAAATTTCGCATAGAGTAGAGTCGATTCGGAGTCGACTCCGCTATACAAAATCGATAAAAATCTCTAGTCGATTTCGAGCTCTAAACAAAGGTAGTTGATGCATATGATCATGATGTAAAAAGCCTTGTATAAAGTTTCTTAAAACTTAATTATAATGTCTTTACCTTGGAGCAGTGTTGTCTAAACTTTTTGAGCCACGGTACACCTTGATAGTAATCTATGTAAAGCACAGACCGTGCGGTTCGTAGTATTTTGAAAAAGTTGTACGACACACAGTTTGAATAGCACTGTCTTATAGTCAAGATTATCAGTTTAAAAGAAACTGGTGTCTAAAGCTAATGGATGGCGAAGAGCTTTATTTTTGCACTTTTAATTGACATGATGACATTGCTCCTGATGTTACTTCGGAGTTATTTGCTTAGTACCAGAGAAGTCTCTTCTTTGTAAAAATCATACTTCTATCATTCATCCAATTTTAATATAGACATGATTATTTTAAGAAAGTAATTTCATAATCTGTAGTTATTTTGTACTAGCTCGCTTTTACCTGCGGCTAAATATGCGTCTTGAGAATGAATGATAAATAACATCAAAAACCTCAAACTTGTTTGCCTTTTCGAATGCATTGAATAAAACATGGAAAATGTTTTTAAATCCTCCAATCATTATAACAGTAGAGTACCATTTCATCAGCTTTTATAAACATACATGAGAATTTGCTGAATGCAGCTATATTTGTACGATGCTTTTAAATGTATTGAAAAGTTTGTGAATTAAACAAAAATATTTTTATGAAGCTTAAAAGAGCGAAGGAAGCTAATGGAATGAATAAAGCAGCGTATTAGGAAAAACTGTTTTATGGAATCGCTGTGGTTGTTATGGATCATAAATAACAACCCCGAATAAAAAAATATGTTGATGAATTTTCCAAAGGCAGGGCTGTTGAATCATACATATATATTTTATTCGGTAAGAATAGTTTCCGCTATGGCAACGATATGAAAACTCCAATAAAGTCAATAAAAAAAGTGGAAGAGTATATTTTCCCGCCTAAAATGCCAATAGCATTCTAAGTAGATTTTTTTCCAATGAATTTTTTTTTTCTATTCAGATTCCAGTTGTCTTTAAGTACTTCATGTGGCAAGTTGAACATAATAATTCGTTTCGGCAATATATAATTTTTTTTATAGTGTTATACATCCTGTACATTATTTTCCATCTTTAAATATATTTTGTGTATAAAAAGTGATAAAAAAAACTATAGGAGGAGTTGTGTCATGTTAAATGAATTTATGTATTATAATATAAGAAACAAGACAACTCTTGAAAATCCAGAAAAGTACTTCCAAATGAAGAACATATAAAAAGGATTTTAAATTTTATAGTGAAGTGAATTTAAGCATGGAATCTATAGAAAATGGTATTGAAACGACAAAATATTTAATGCTTCAATTGTGAAACGTCCTCGAACGTTTAAAAAGCTATCGTGCAAATCTCATTCAGCAAAAACTCAAAAATTGATTACAAAATATATAGATTTGGCTCCTTCCCTCCCATTTTTCCACTCAAATTGTAGAACAAAAAATAAAATAGAATTTACATAATCATCACTGTATCGGTTCACTATTGAATTGTAGTGTGTTGTTAAGCGCCGGCGACAGACAAGAGCTGTTTGGTTGCATTGAAGGTTTTTTTTTTCTTCTCTTTATTATTTTGTATTTCACCCTGCCAAACAACAAACTGTGAGAGTATGTAGGATACAAAAGCGAGCATAAACATTCTAAAATAATAATAACGACTATTCAATATCGACATAGCGCTCGGTACAATAACTTTTCGCCTAGTCTCTCTCTCTCTCTCCTTCTGTTCGGCATTCCTCGTTCTCTCTCATTCTATGTGCTTTTAGAATTTTTATGACGTTTATATTTCAATTTATGAGGGAAAATTGCATGCATTTTTTAACTGCTACACTATCACTTCAAAAATAATATTTGATGATTAAAGGCAATTCCAGTGCGCGTGTTATGTCCCATCACAAAAAATATATAACCTTGAGGATATTTTTGCCATACTTTAATATATCATGCGACTCGTTACTATTTCAAAATTCG